ATATTTGAGCCATACCCAGGGTCAACGCACGCTCTACACCGTTGACTGGATTTCCTCTCGATGCGCGCGCCATGTTCATGTGTACTGTACGTACGTGCCATCATAGGTGGTGGTGTGGGCGCAGTGTGGGCGCATCGCACGTCTGCTGGGCGGTATTTCATTTCAATTTTTATTTGCGGGGGAGTTCATTTCAAAAATATTGATCAAGTGGATCGGATACACTTCCCAATTGCCATGATCCAGATTAATAACTCTGCATGTCGAGGTCAATTTGTGCTACTGATTGTTTTGTCGATTGCGACAACTAGGTTACTCTATATATACTCCGTATATGCTAGTATTACTTTTTTTAGGCGAATGCATGTATTACTTAGGTGGGTGTTTGGTTCAAATCACATCTGAGGGGAGATGTTTATTGGCACACTATGGTCTTGCATCACAGACACTCATAATGTGTGGCAAGATTTTTTTTTAGACTTGCCAACTTGTGGCTTCAATTTTATTAATGTAAGCTTAGCCTTTTTAAGGGAATTTTAACTAGTAACCTTAGCCAAGTCCAGGGAAAATGTGTGGCAAACCGTGGCGTTGATAGGCCTATCACAAAACGGACCCATAATTGCCCTCAGCCCATAGAGGTCCAAGCTAACATAAAGTTTTTTTTCTTTCACAAAAGCATGTGTTTAGAACGCTCATCGGTTGTCGACCGGTGGGAGGCCCCAATCTGTCACCTAGCGTGCTGCCCGAGCGCGCGTGTGTTTCTTCACCCCACCCTATCCTTGCTCCCATCGGCACGGACACTGGGCCATTTGTGCTGAGCGTGCGTTTCTTCACCCCAACCCCATCCTTGTTCCATCGGCACGGACATGGGCCATCTTGTGCCGAGCGTGCGTTACATGCGTCGTCGACCATTTATCAAGGTGCACAGTGTAGTGTAGTGTGTGTTTGCTTGCTATCTGTGTGTTACGCGCAGGATATATTGGAGCTCCCAATTGAACGCGATGGTTTAGAGACCAAGCACCATGCAGCCTAGTATTTCACATGCGTCGTTGCCCACGGAGGCTAGTATTTTGCTGAATGGTATATATTGGAGCTCCCAATTGAATACGATTTTGCGTCGTTGGCCCATTTTCAACAATTTTTTTCTTCCAATTTTACTGTTTATCCTAAGCTCGTTTGAGCTCGGAAGCAGAAGAGGATTTCTGGTGACAAAAACAAAAGGCTCCCACAGGGGCCTGGAAAGCATTTGCTAAAGGCGGTATGGCGAACTCTGGCATCCGCTAAAACCGGAGGAAACGGAACACCGGCAGTGGCGCCGTGGCACCATGTGGTCTGTCGGCCGGTCGACGAGACGATGACAAGGGTAGCCTCTGCTTCATGCAAGCGAACAATCTCAGTCCTCGTGCATGTGCCGCTGCCCGATCCATCCATCGATCAATCCCTTGAGCAAAGCATAGCAGCGTACATAAGCATGCCCGGCCTCAGTGAGCCACAAGTTGGACTCTCAGCTGCAGCACGGAGTGTGGATGCACCGATAAGCCGATCGGTTCACACGCTTATGCTACTATAATTAGCTAACTAATGGAGCCATGCATGCATGGCCAAAATAATTAAGTAAGCCACCTCCGGGCCGCACACGCATGGTGGATGCATGTGGCGTCGGCGTCCCGGGACCGGTACCGAGCGAGCTAGCGGCGGAGGCGAGAGGTCGCGTACGTGGGCAGCGATTTGACCCGTGTGGTACGCGTAACGCGTGCTTTCAGACCATGCTCCCCCGACGGACGGACCCCGGCCTTAATTTGACTAGGTCAACGCGCGCACCTCCGCTGACTCGCCGTTGAAAAAAGAAATTGATCGAGCATGGAATCTGATACTGATGCTCTTATTTGAGAATCATGGAATCCGATACTCTGTAAGGAGGAGATTGATTTGCCCTGCTGGGTGTTTTGGTCGACTGTAACAGCCGGGTTACTGCATGTGTATGCGCTAGCTAGTGGCACGCAGTAATACTTAATTGGTGTCAGCGGGTACAGTCCACTGTAAGTAGGCAGCATAAAGCGAAAAGACAAATACAGGTGACGCGTTCAGATCGCGCGTCGCGGTAATAATAACAAATATTGCAAGCAGGGAGCTCGGTTTGGTGGATTTGGATGATCAACAAGTCAAACCACCCATCGTATGTGCATGTTTCAAACTAGCAGCAGCAGCAGCAGTGCTAATCCGACATCTTCCTCACTGTGGCGCGGCAGAGCGAGAGAGAGAGAGGGTGCTGCCACTCCAGCTACTTTCCTGCACAGTATCATTAGTTACTCAGTGCTACTAGTAGTACTCACTCACAGGGGGAGAGAAGACAAAAACAAGTGACAGGCCTCCACACCTAATTGCCTGTTGCACCAAATGGCCAATCTACCCCTCTGTATAGCCTACCTTACCCTGTAGACCGAGGTTTTCTATGTGATTGAATTGAGGAAGGGCAACGCTATACCTACATAAAAGCATCTCCACTCGCACCCCCAACTGACCCACCAGGGCAACCTTTATCTCACCGGCGACGAAAAAAAACCGTCGCCATCCCCCTCCCAGGATGCGCCGGAGTCCTCAAGTTCCCCCAGGCGAGCTTTTCGGCGCTCCGTCCACGCAGGCGGGGATACCGGCGGCTGCGCACCTACCACGCCCGCCAGGTGTTCGTTGTTTTGTTTGCTCGGCGACGGACTCGGACGACAAGAAGGCATTCGCGACACTGCTGGAGGAGGAAGCTGATGCCGATGCCAATGCCCAGGACGAAGAGCACCTCATGATCCTCGCCGCTCTAGTCGGCCTATTCGTGAGCAATGCAAAGCCGCGGCGAGGTGGATCGGCGCCGGGCTGGCAGAAGGCAAAGCAGAGGCATCGATTGCAGGGCTACTACTTGCTCTATGCCGACTACTTCGCCGCCGCTCCACTACACGCCGAGAAAGTATTTCGGCGCCATTATCGGATGAGTCGAAAGCTCTACCTCAGGATTGTGAATTTCATCTGGGAGTTCGACAACTACTTCAAGTGTAAGAAGGATTGCACCAGCACACCTGGATTCACCTCACTCCAGAAAGTGCATGGCAACTGTGAGGATGCTTGCATACGGAGTTCCCAGTGATATACTGGAAGACTATGGATGCATGGCCGAGTCCACCACCATTGAGTGTTTATACAAATTCTGCAGGGCAATGGGGGCAGTGTTTGGACCATAATACTTGCGATCACCCAATGCTGAAGACACTGCCCGGATCCTAGCACAGAATGCGGCAAGAAGATTCCCTGAGATGCTTGGAATCATCGACTGCATGCATTGGGCATGAAAAAACTGTCCATTTGCTTAGCAGGGGATGTACAAAGGCGTCAAAGGAGGTTGTAGTGTGGTATTTGAGGCAGTGGCCACACCGGACCTCTGGATTTGGCACTCCTTCTTTAGTATGTCAGGTACTCACAATGACATCAACGTACTGCAGTGCTCGAATGTATTTGCCAAGCTTGTTGAAGGTCATGTTCCTCCAGTAAACTTCGAGGTCAATCGACGCCACTACAACAAGGGATACTACCTAGCAGATGACATTTATCCGAGATGGTCCACATTTTGGAAGACTATCTCAAACCCTGTGCCAGGAGGCAAGAACTCCTACTTTGCCAAGTGTCAGGAGGCTTGCGGGAAGGATGTGAAAGCGGGCATTTGGTGTGCTCCAATCTCGATTTTTTGTTGTCCGGTACCCTGCTCTGACCTGGTCGAAAGATCAAATGTGGGAAGTCATGACTTGCTATGTCATCTTGCACAACATGATCATTGAGACCGAGTAAGAAGAGCCAGTGCTTGACACTAAACCATATTACAGGCAGGGTCCTCTTGCCCAAGTTGATCACCAGTTACCGGCAACCTGGCCTACCTTCCTGAATATGCGTCAAGAGTTCCGAAACCCACAGACGCATCAAGAACTGCAGCATGATCTGGTGAAGCACCTATGGAGGCTCAAGGATAACGCCTAGCTTATTTGTGTTCAAATTATGAGTTTGATTTGTTGAACTGTTTGATTTGTATTCATTTGTGCGATGAACTATGTGACAAAAATTAGTTAGTGTTGAATTTGTGCCGAATATTTGTCGAAATTTGTCAATTTGTGCTGAAAGGGGACCGAAATAGACGGCTGAGGGCGACCCTATTTGTTACCTGCTTTACGCAAACAACAACGTGGAGAGTCATTAGTGGATCGGTAGGGGAAAGGGGCCACCCACCTGAAAATCCATGGGGGCCGAGAAGATTAGATAGGCAGCTTTCGTAGATGTTGGTAGCGTAGCGGGTTGTGTAGTTGTAGGATCATAGGTTGATGAATTTGAATTTTAAAAAATATGCATGCACCGGCGCACGGAGTTACGAGAAAAAGGCTGAGAAGACCACTCAGGTGGTAGCTAAGCACTAGTGGTAGTCAACTCAGCCGGGTACGTACGCAACGTACTAGTACTAGGTACGACCACTAGGTTGTTTTTGCCTGCCGGAGAGGACAGGGCGAGCGAGCACGTGACGACGTGATTGTACAAACACTAGTCTATACTCCCTTTTTTTTTTTTTTTGAGAAAGTCTATACTCCCTGAGTTGAAGGCCGCCGCTCAGAGATGGGCCGAATTTCCACTTCCACCCCGCATCCATCCCCATGCTCCATCTACTATTACCAGTCGGTAGCAGTCAGCGAGTCACGAGCTCTTCCTTCCCCGTTCCTCACTCCAGTTTGAACCCAACCCGCCGCCCACGCATTGCCCTCCATCGCCATTGCCCACACGGCGTCTCTCATCAGTCATCACCCCCCTATAAAAATGGAGGGCACGACGCCCCGACACTTGTGACGTAGACATTCTCCTCCCCTTCCAGTACACGGCACGCCACGCCACTCGCCACTCTCACCGTCTCCACGGTCTCACTAGCACTACTCCACTCCACTGCAAGCTAGCTGCTCCGTCTAGAGCTTCGGCGAGGCAAGGCAATGGCGAGCTCCCGTGGCCGGTGGGCGAGCCCCGAGCGCACCGTCGTCTGGACCGAGCCGCCGCCCAAGACCACCTCCGCCACCACCAGGCGTCACGCTCACGCCCACGCCGCACCGCCCGCCAAGGTGCCCGTCGTCTACTACCTCTCGCGCAACGGCCAGCTCGACCACCCGCACTTCATGGAGGTCCCCGTCTCCAACCCCCAGGACGGCCTCTGCCTCCGAGGTACACGCTCTGCTCCGCTCTCCTCTGCCTCCTCTCGCTTCAGCTCCCTGCCAGTCATGGAGTCAGGTTCTGCCTCTGCTTAATTAACAATGTCTGCCGATGGCGCAGACGTGCTGGACCGGCTGACGGTGCTGCGGGGCGCCGGCATGGCGGACGCCTACTCGTGGTCCTCCAAGCGGAGCTACAAGGCCGGCTACGTCTGGCACGACCTCACCGCCGACGACCCCGTGCACCCCGCCAGCGGCGCCGAGTACGTGCTCAAGGGCTCCGAGCTGCTCCCCCTCCTCCCCGCGCCGCCCTACCCGCGCGACGCCTCCGCCGGCTCCTCCTCGTCCTCCTCCACCTCCAGCTGCCAGGCCGGGAGCGAGAACAACAAGAAGATGCCCGCAGTGGGCATCAGCAGGGCGCACGGCCGGCGCAAGAACTGGAGCTCCTTCGACCTCGGGGAGTACCGGGTGGCCGCCGCGCGGGGCGGCGCCGGGGCGGACGCGGCCACGCAGACCGACGAGAGACGCGGCCGGCGCCGGGGCCCCGAGCCGACGACGGAGCTCGGCGCGGACGAGATCTCGCCCCCGCCGTCGTCCAGCAGCCCGGACACGCTGGAGACGCTCATCAACAACGACGTCCGCGTGGCCGCCGCATCGAGCACCGTCGCCGCACGCCGGGGGGAGGAGGACGCGGGCCTGGCGCAGCAGGGAGTGATCGCGGGCGGGCGGATGCGCGCGTCGGCGGTGCTGATGCAGCTCATCTCCTGTGGCTCCATCCCCGCGGCCCCCAAGCGCGAGACCGGCCCGGGCGGCGCGAGGTACACGGCGGAGCGCAGGCTGCCGCGCGGTCGGTCGGACCTGAGCAGCAGCACCGGCGGCGCAGACGGGTTCTCGGGCAGCATTGGCGTCGGCGCAAGCATGGAGCGGGAGTACTTCAGCGGCAGCCTGGTGGAGACCAAGAAGTCGGCGAGCGGCGACCGTGCCGGCCACGGCGGGGAGCTGGGCGCTCTGAAGCGCTCGTCTTCGTACAATGCCGACAGGTAGGAGCTCAACCTTGTTTGGGAGAGATTATCTTATCGTGTGCATGGTGAGCCTTGGCCATGGTGAGTGAGGGACAATGGAGAAAAGTTGTGCTCTAGAGTCACACTGAAAAAAGCTACTTTTTGAGAATCCAAACTCCCAAACAATACTTAGCGCCATGTTGTCTCTGTCAAACTGCCATTGCTGCTAGTCTTAGCTAGGTGCTGGATGCTTAGACAATTCAGAAAATTTGCATCTAGCCTCACACTGAAAAGCTACTTTCGGAGTACTTGGCACCATATTGCAACTGCCAGTCTCTGAATCTGGCATTGCTGGTAGCTAGGCTTTAGCAGTAAAATGCAGAACGATTCCTTTCAGATGAGCAAGATCTGTTTCACCGTAGTTGATCTGCTCTGCTCTGGCTGCGGCACAATTCCGAGTCCTTTGGGGTGCAGAGCAGAGGCAGGACCACGATGCTGCACGGTCGGCGAGTGAGTCGGAGTGATTCCTCGAGATTGCTTGCGTTGCTCGATCTATTCACGCACGGGTCACCAAATCTGACTAGATAGCTATGCTCCTTTGTTTCTCTCTTTCTTTCTGAGGTCTGAGTGATGATGAATGATGATTCAATTGAATTGTGCGTGCAGGAGCAGAGAGTCCACGATGAACACTGCTAGTACTACTACTACTACTAGTGGTGGTTGTAAGCTGGAGCTTGCGGCGGAGGAGGTGGACGGCGTGCGCGCCCGCTGCATCCCCGCCGGCAGGAAACCCAGCGGCGGCAGCAGTAAGAAGTCTCCGACCACCCACGTCCACGTTAGCAGCAGGCGCGGTGACCAGCCGGAAACCACCGACGACGGACGGACCGACTGAATTCACCGATGAAAACTCAGACATACTACTACTAGCATCAAAATGTGGATCGAAGCGCGTGCACTGCAGGCTGAACGAATGTCTTGCCACGGCACGAGCTCTTGCATCGACACCCCTTTCATTTTTTATCTATTACCCATTTCTGGAGTAGCTAGCGTAGAATTGAAACTCACTTGTATCAAGGTGTATGTAGAATGTAGTGGCACGGCATGTGTGTCTGAACTATAACCGAGCAGCGTGGCGTATGCAGTGTTTGACTTTGTGTTTTCATTTGTTCAAACTTCAAAATGAGGTTGCATCCATCCCCATCCCCACCCCCAGCTTGTCTTGTCGTTGCAAGCTTGGACCTACTCTCTTGCTCGTATGCGGCACGAGGACCCTTTTCTAAAAAAATTGCGGCACGAGGACGTTTATAAAACTAGGACCCCAATAACTGGGGAGCGTCTCTCTGATCCCAGTACGAACCATATATCCTCTGTAAATGATCGATTAAGGGAACAAAATCGTTCCCTAGGGAATTTAGGCCAAATCAAGCTTAATTTTTGCCACAACTTAAAAACTGATAGGGACCTCATATGGTAATACAACAAACAGCAGGCAAAGTGCCATGATGTACATAATAATAGAAGGGCAGTCATACGCGCCAGCGCACCGGCCCAAGTTTGGGCCGGTCAGCCTACAACCGTGCGATCTAGCAGGCAGGAGCCGTCCGATCCCCCCTCCCCCCACGTCATATCATCTTCTTCCTCCCTCCCCACGCTTCAGATCCATTCGGCGCGATGTGTCCCTTCCCCAGCCACCGCATGCGTGTGCTCCGGCGAGAATAGGAAGCATCCACGTCCTCTCCCTCGCCGTCGCAGCACCCCGGCCCGTCCTCTCCCCTCCGTCGCCGCTCGTCGCTGTCGCCGCTCGTGCGCCCACAGATTCGTCCCCGGTTGAAGCTTTTTTAGCCTCTGGTTGAAGCTTTTCCTACGCCGATTGAAGCAATTTTCCATGCGTGAAGCTTTTTCATGGGGGTTGAAGCTTTTTCCACTATGCCTGTTGAAGCTTTTTCCGCCGGCGGTTGTAACTTCTCCTAGGTGAGTTGAAGCTTTTTTCCATGTCAGGTTGAAGCATCGGCGCCCGTCGTCTGCCACGCATGTAGCAAAAAGGTCACCAGTGGTAGCAAAAACAGGATGTGGTTGTAGCAAAAAAAGGATGTGGTTGTAACATTCCCCGTGGTCACCATGGTCACCATGGTCACCACTGAGGGAGGAAAAGCCGGTTCCAGCAAACCGTGACAACGGTTCCAGCAAATCACCAAGCTGGTTGTAGCATTTCATCGATTTTGTGATGGGGGTGCTTCTAGCAACCGCGGTCTCTGGTTCCAGCAAAATACGACGCCGGTTCTAGCAAATCGTGATGATGGTTGCAACATTGTCGTGGTGTCCCCACCGCGCTCCACCGCCGCACCATTAATCAGGCTCACCGTCCGTCGTGTTGACGCTCAAAAATGGCATGATCGCGAAGAGTGACTTGAGTCTATAATGGGATGAGGCTAAAATTATGAGTTCATGTCACCATTTGATGGCCCTCTTCAAGATGATCAAAATAAATATGAAGATGGACCAAAACGGAGCTCAAGTGCAAAAGATATGACAATTTTGGAGATACCCGTGTTGACACCAGATTGAAGAATGGCATGAAACCTAATTAAGACGGCCTCGTATGGAAAAATTTACAACTGAAAAGTTGTGCATCTCATCGAAACGGTGGATTTTGATATAAAAATCGTTTTAATCCGAGGTCGTATGCAACCTGTGGAGGCAAAACAAGGTCAGAAACAGAAGCTGCAGAGTCATTTCGGACCGACCAAGTTGATTTGATCGGTGAGACTGAGTTGGTCCAAAAATTTACCAGAGAGTTGGCAATGCTGGCTCGATAGGACCGAAATGAACCAATCGGTGAGACCGAGTTGGTCCGAGAAATTACCAAAGATTCCTGTCCGAGTTAGGTTAGGGTTTTTGACGTTTTGGATGGACTTTTTAGTCCTTTTCTTGTATGGGAAGTCCAGCCGCCTCATAAATAGATGAGAGGTGACGGCCGATTGAACAACACACAATCGACATATCAATCTATCAATCTTTTACCTTTACCTTTATCTCTCTCCCTTGTTCTTCTTCTTCCTTGTTCTTCGTTCGTTCTTCTTGTTGTAGGGTGGCGAACCTCGAGGCCCTAGGGGCGCTCAGGCCGACCTAGGGCAGCCCATTGCCGCTGCGCGCCCTGACGCGGTCCCTCCCGGGTATGTGGGGTTTCGGGTCTACAAAAGCGTCCGCCGGATTGCCTGTGTACCGCGCTTCCGGACGGGTCTCCTTCGATGTGAGCTGCGGTGCATCAACCCCGGCGTCAAGGGTACACGGTGACATGTTCGTGTGCGAACACACTTTTTGGCGACTCCGCTGGGGACGAAGCTTTGAACGGTCTCCGGCCTGTTCTTGCTACGAAAGGATCGTCATCTAGGGTTTGCAATCTACGAAGGTAATATGAATACCCAATTCCCTACTGTAGATGCAAATAATTCATATGGTGTTACTAGTTCAATGAGTATACTCTATCGGCTAGCCCTAGTTTTTCCAATAATGCATCTAATTACGTGCAAGGACTGATTCAAAGTAATTTGCATGCTTCAACTTCTTATGATACTAGTAACCTACACCATATGTATCCCAACTCTCATGCATCGGTAACCCCACAAATTGTTATGCCGATGAACAACATGGTGAGTTCAGCTAATAAATTTGAAACACCTTATGTTAGATTTTCCAATGCCATGCAAGAAAGTGTTTCACCCTTTTATTCATCGGCAAGTAATGTGCAATATACTAATCCAGCCATGCCGATGAACGAGAGAATTGGCCATGCTACTACTAGCTATTCGACCAGTTATTCCCAACCGTCATATGCTACACCTCATGACAATAATTTTTCAGCACCATACACAACTGTAGATGTTCATAATTCGGCTTCCGACCTTCCTGGTCATAGCCGAATGAATGTAAATTTTACAGGAGCGGTTGTGCCCAATATTGTAGAAGATGAGGTAGTAGTGGCTGCATTGAAGAGTTTATCCCAAAATAAGAGGATTAGTGCTCTTTGCCTTGAACAACATGAAAAGGGGCTATTTCCTGATTATGCCGCAATAAAAGCTAGAGTTTTGCAAGAAGATGAATCTTTGCCAATTGATAAAATTGGCGAGCAAAAAATATGGTTTTACAACAAAGCATATGCCTTCACCTAGTACTACATCATATTATACACCCCCTACACAATTGCAAAATTTCGGCAACACTCGTGTGTAATTGCCGAAAGAATCTAAAAGCATTGAGGAGCAATCATATCCGGAGTGTGCTGAAATTGAGAAAAAACTTAAAGCCAATTTTGCCGCTTGCCGCCAGAAACAAATAGAGAAGGAATTGGCTCAAATAAAAGAAGCATTGCCAATTGGTAGAATCAATGAAAAGAAGGATGATTCAGAACATGAAGGTGCTTCGGTTGAAAAAGCCGAATCAAGTAGTTTATATTCTGAGTCCATCAAATCCAAAGAGGCAAGCATTATTGAGAAAGGGCATGGCAAGCATAGCAAAACAACCATGCTTGATTTTTCTGAAGTTAATGGAACCTACTTCCTGCCCTATGAGTTCCGTGACATTGACAAGCCTCAAGGACAAGAACAAGTAGCCGAACAAAGTTCGGCTGACATGGATCTTCAAAGCAATGATGCACGGAATCAAGAAAAAGATGATGACAAGGTGTTGGGGAGCCATCCAAAGACGGAGCAAGATGTTCTTCAACTGGCACCACCATCATGCTCTCCCAACATATTTGAAGAGGTATGCATAGCGAGTAATTTGCCTATTTTCAGATTTGGTCGCAACTTCATTATTGAAGCATCTATAAGAAATATTCTCATAAGTAATTTTGAAAGACCAATGAAGAAGGGTAATTTACTTGATAGCAATAAAATTGTTATGGAACATATCGGTCAACCCATTGCGCCATTTATAAAGACCGATAATGACTTATTGTTACAGCCAAAGCTTTCCCCGTTGCTTTATCTGAAGTTCATATCTAGTTGGGTAGCTCTGCTTATTTCGTACTTGGCTTGCACTTGATCTCAACTGAGACATGTATGTTCTAAATATCTTTGTTTCAGAAATTTAAAGCCAAGGTTAAAATATTTTGGGAAAACCGATGCTAGTATAGTTTCTTATTTAAGGACATCGGAAAATGAATGCGAAAGAGAATTCATAGCCGAATGGGAAGATGCCAAATCTGAACCATTCTTTTGCTTAACTCCAAAGCCGTTCTCACAAAAAGATCGGCTAGAAAACAAAAGGTATACCTTCGATTCAAGCATGTGTGATCAAATATTTGATTTGTTGCTAAAAAATAATTATATAAGAATTCTTGATCACCATGTCAAGCCATCAATCCAAGGACGAATGTATTGTAAGTTGCATGATTCGTTCAAGCATAGTTTTGAGAATTGCAATATGTTTCGTCAAATAGTTAAATCGGCCATTGAAAAACGACGATTGAAGTTTGTTGAAACACCAAGAGATGACCAGTCTATTCCGATTGGTCCCGATGGCAAAAAGTTTTTGCATCGCCTGCTTCAAGCTGATCCATTTAAAGAGAATGTAAAAGCTGCAGGTGATGGGATCAAGCTTTCAAGTAAAGAAGTTGTTGAAGAGCATAACGAGCATAATCTTGAGGGCGAGAGTTCCATCGAAGCTACAATGGAGACGCCAAGGACTGGGGGGGGGCAGCAAGCAAATCTAATGATCGATGAAAGCAAACCAAAAGAAACCAAAGGCCGGAATAAGCGCAAGTGTAAGAGATCAAAAATCACCTTCGCTGAACTATTGGATAAATATCAAAAGAAGAGTGAAGAGAAGAATGCTTATCGGCCAAATCATGCAAAGAAACCGAGATCACCCCCAAGGCGCAAATATGAGGATTGGTATTGGCAAAGTGATAATTTTAATGCAACATATTCATATCCTTATTTAGCACCATATTGCAACTGCCACTCTCTGAATCTGGCATTGCTGGTAGCTAGGCTTTAGCAGTAAAATGCAGAACGATTCCTTTCAGATGAGCAAGATCTGTTTCACCGTAGTTGATCTGCTTTGCTTTTGCTGCGGCACAATTCCAATTCCTTTGGGGTGCAGAGCAGAGGCAGGACCACGATGCTGCATGGTCGGCGAGTGAGTCAGAGTGATTCCTCGAGATTGCTTGCGTTGCTCGATCTATTCATGCAAGCGTCATCAAATCTGACTAGATAGATAGCTATGCTCCTTTCTTTCTTTCTGAGTTCTGAGTGCTGATGATTCAGTTGAATTGTGCGTGCAGGGGCAGAGAATCTGCAATGATCACTGCTAGTACAACTACTGCCAGTGGTGGTTGCAAGATGGAGCTTGCGGCGGAGGAGGTGGACGGCGTCCGCGCCCGCTGCATCCCGGCCGGGAGGAAACCCAGCGGCGGCAGTAGCAGCAGCAAGAAGTCTCCGACCACCCACGTCCACGTTAGCAGTCGGCGCGGCGACCAACAGGAAACTACCGACCACGGACGGGCTGACTGAATTAACTGAAGAAAACTCAGCAACATACTACTAGTACCATTATCAAAATGTGGATGGAAGCGCGTGCATTGCGGACTAAATGAATGTCTTGCTACGTCACGCGCTCTTGCATCGATTCCCTTTCTTTTCATCTTTTCACCCATTCCCGGAGTAGCTAGCGTAGAATTCAAACTCACTTGGATCAAGGTGTATGTAGAATGTTGTAGTTGCACGGCAGCAGAGCGAGCAGCATGTGTGTCTGAACCGAGCAGCGTTCCACATGCAGTGTTTGACTTTGTGTTTCATTTGTTCAAAATTTCAAATGGAGGTTGCATCCATCCCCATCCCCATCCCCATCTTGTCTTTCCGTTGCTTGCTACGGAATCGCAGCAACTCCTCGCGTCACGCCAGGATGTGGTAACGAAAGGCAGAAGAGAATTGCGTGGGGAGGAAGAAGAAGCACAGAGGAAGGATTGTATTCCAGAGAATAATGTTTACAATTGCCAGTTGTCCTTCCTCTCTCCACACGCTAGCTATATAACGGTTCTATTACAAGCCACACTAGGCCGGCCCAACGGCCATCCACCCACTCAAGGCACGGCAAGGCCCAGGTTGTTGCATGCCCCTCCCCTTAAGCAACAGGACGCCCTCGGACTGTTCACCATCACGTTGTTGTCGTTCGTGCCACATCCGACGTCCACTCCCAAGTTGCCATGGACACAGGAAGGCCTCTCCATGCAATCTTCAGTTGCTGTCGCGTGTGTCCACCGACCTGCAGCAAACGGGATTGCAATACTTGTGCCGGTGTCAGAGACGTTGACAGGAGTAGTGCATCAAGGGTCTCTGTCTGTACTGCAGTTTAGTCTGGGGGCTTGGCCGGCTTCAGCAGGGACACATGAACTACTGGATGGATTTTGCTTGATGCTGGAAGGTCCAATCGGTAGGCCACAGTTCCGATCTTCTCCACGATCTGGTAGGGTCCGAAGTACTTGAAGCCGAGCTTGTGGTTGGAGCGTCTCACCACTGATTGCTGAACATACGGTTGCAGTTTCAGATAGACCCAATCGCCCGCTGCAAACTGTCGGTCAGACCTATGTTTATCCTCTTGCGCTTTCATCCTATGTTGTGCTCGGAGGAGGTGTTCCCGAATCAACCCTTGCATCATTGTACGTTCAGCCAGCCAGCCGGAGAGATCTGAAGATAGAGTGCTCTGCAGATTGAAAATGCCCAAATGTCTGGGTTGATAGCCATATAACACCTGGAATGGTGTATGTCCCAGAGCAGAGTGGTAGTTTGTATTGTACCAGTACTCGGCTTGAGGCAGCCAGTACGCCCATTTCTTGGGGGCCGAGTGTACCATACATCTCAGGAATGTTTCCAGGCACTGATTGAGCTTCTCCGATTGGCCATCAGTTTCTGGGTGACTAGCAGAACTCATGTTCATCTTCGTGTCAGAAAGCTTGCATAACTCTTGCCACAACGTGCTTGTGAAGATAGGATCTCTGTCCGTTACTACTACTTGAGGAAGGCCATGCAGTTTATACACATGATCCATGTACAGTTGAGCCACCTGGAGAGCAGTGAATGGGTGTGACAACGGAATGAAGTGAGCGTATTTGTTGAATTTGTCAATGACAACCAGTACAGTGTCAAAGTGTTTGCTTTTGGGAAGACCACCAATGAAGTCCATGGTGACCATGTTCCAAGCTTCTTTAGGGATTGGCAAAGGGCTGAGCAGTCCAGGTTTTTTTACATGCTCAGTTTTGGCTTGTTGACATACAGTGCACTCCTTCACATAATTCTGAATGTCTTGCTTCATAGCTGGCCAAGCAAACAGTGCCTTAATTCTCTGATATGTTCCTTGAAATCCAGAATTACCCCCCACCCCACTAGAGTGTAGAGACAACATAATAGCCTGATGAGCTTCAGTATTGTGACCTAGCCATACCCTGTCTTTATATCTGATGATCCCTTGGTGTAGCACATATCCTTTCTCATTAGAGCCAGTCAGAGCCAATTCTTGTAACAATTGCTTATCTTCTTGATGTTGCTGATACCCTTCAGCTACCACACTCAACCATTTAGGTGTGCAGAATGATATGGTATGCAGTTCAACAGGAGCAGGTGATCTGAATAATGCATCAACAGCTGTATTATCCTGACCTTTTTTATATGTGATGGTGTATCTTAGTCCAAGCAGTTTTAAGAGAGCTTTCTGCTGCATAGGACTAGTGATTTTCTGATCTTGCAGGTGTGTCAGACTCCTGTGATTGGTTGACAGTGTAAAGGGGGCATGCTATAAGTAACTTCTCCACTTATCCACTGCCAGGATGACAGCCAAACATTCCTTCTCATATGTGGAAAGAGCCTGAGCTTTAGGGCCCAATGCTTTGCTCAAATAGGAGATAGGGTGTCCTTCCTGCATGAGTACTGCTCCAATGCCACTGTTACTAGCATCTGTCTCAATGACGAATGTTTTCTTGAAATCAGGTAGAGCTAGAACCGGGGCTTGAGCTAGAGCAGTTTTAAGGCTTTGAAATGCAGCTTCTGTAGTAGGTGTCCACTGGAATATCACATCCTTCTTCAACAAGTCAGAGAGGGTTCTGCTGATAATCCCGTAATTTTTTATAAACTTCCTGTAATAACCTGTGAGTCCCAAATATCCTCTCACTTGCTTGACATTGGTTGGTACAGGCCAGTTCTGGACTACTGCAATTTTAGCTGGGTCAGTTTGAACTCCAGCTCCACTTATGACATGTCCCAAGTATTCTAGTTCTTGTTGGGCAAAAGAACACTTGCTGAGCTTCACATACAGTTGATTCTCTTGTAGAATTGTAAAGACTTGCTCCAGATGTTGGAGGTGCTCCTCTAAAGTTTTACTGTAGATGAGTATGTCATCCATAAAGACTAACACACATTTCCTTAGTAACACTGCAAACAGGATGTTCATTGCAGCTTGGAATGTTGCAGGTGCGTTAGTTAGCCCAAAGGGCATAACCTTGAATTCATATAGGCCATGGTGAGTTTTAAATGCTGTTTTATGCTCCTCACCTGCTATCAATATGATTTGATGGTATCCTGATCTCAAATCCAATTTGGTAAAGTATTTGGCTCCTACTAATTCATCCAGTAGTTCTTCTACTATAGGCATGGGATATTTGTGTTGGACTATGACAGAGTTTAACATCCTATAGTCCACACAGAACCTCCATGTTCCATCCTTCTTCCTGACCAACAAAACAGGGGAGGCAAAAGAACTGCAGCTGTGCTCAACCACTCCTTGCTGAAGCATAGTAGATACTTGTTGTTCTATCTCTTGTTTTTGCATTGGATTGTATCTGTACGGCCTGACATTCACCGGTTTTGTTCCAGGTATGATAGGGATCTGGTGGTCAAATTCTCTGTGAGGGGGCAGGGTAGTAGGAGTATTGAAAAGCTGTTTGTGTTTGTTGATCAGAGGTTGGACTACAGGTGGTATGTCAGTTTCTGCCATAGGTCTTTCTGCCATATGGCAGAGATGAATAACTTGCTCGACTACTCTAGTGTTCATTAGCCCTTGCAAGTGTTTCCCAGAGATGGCCTTACATGCATTGAGTTGATCTTTAACACCTCGAAGTGTTATTCTTGTTCCTTGATATTTGAACCTCATGATTTTTTTCCTCCAGTCCACCCACATGGGGCTCATAGTTTCAAGCCACTGCATGCCCAGTATGATGTCATAAGTGCCCAGTGGTAAAACCTTAAGCTGAGTGTTGAACGTTTGACCCTGACAGAACCACTATAAATTGGGCACTTGGGTAGTGCAAGGCAGAGTGCCCCCATTGGCAACAGTAACAGTTGCTGCAGGAATATCTTTTGTTGAACATTTTAGTTCCTTGGCCAAATCTGCTCTAATAAAATTAGTGGAACTCCCAGAATCTACCAGGATCAGTAATTGGCGTTTCCCCACCATGCCCTGTAATTTGATACTTTCTTTAGAAGATGTTCCAGTAGCTACTTGCACAAATAGTTTCATACAATCATCACTCTCCTTGTCCGTCGGTTCAGTTGGTTGATGTTCACTGTCAGAGTCACTAACAGCAGAATCTTGTGGCTGCAGAGCATCCCATAGCTCTTCCATTACATGCAACTGCACTTTACTGGGACATTTGTGACCTGGTCCATATTTTTCTCCACACTTGAAGCATTCTCCTCTTGCTCTGCGCTGATTCCTGAGATTGTCCACTTTATCTGATACCCTTGGTTGCTCTTCAGGTCTTTTATCTGCTGGTGACGATCCCATTAAACCCTGATGTATATATGACTTGGAACTGAACCGTGGTTCCCATTTCTTGCTGTACTTTGAGGTGTCCTCTACAAGTAGTGCCTCTTGTGTCTGTGCTAATGGGTAAGCTATATCGACTGAAGTTGGTTGCTGTAACTTGACAGGTGCTCGAATGGATGGTTTCAGCCCTTGTACAAAGCGATTGATGAAAAATGTTTCATCGTAGGCATGATTGTACACTAGCAGCTTGTGCATCTGTTCCTCAAACGCATGGGCATATTCATCCACAGTTTCTGTCTGCTTCAATGCAAAGAACACATCAATGGCCCTCGTGTATTTGTTTCTGTTAAACTTTGCAAACACCGCTACACATAACGCTGCCCAACTGTCGATCGTGTGCATGGCTTCGTATGTCTGAAGCAAGAGAGCTGCATTGCCTGCGAAGTGCATAGTGGAAAAATCGACCCATAGTTCCTGTTGGACCTTATACATGCGGAAATACTTTTCACACTGCTGCTTCCACCACTTGGGGTCCTCCCCATCAAATTTGGGAAAATCAGAGTGAGGAATCCGTGGTTTGTACTGACTGTGATGTGCGCGATGAGTATGAACCGGTGACAATTCTGAATCCTCATCGGAAAAAACTTCAGCAGTATTAAACAGAGACTGATTTTGCTCACCCTGTATTGCTGACTGTCGATTCTGACGAGGTCCTCTGTGCTCTGCAGCCGGAGGTACCTAGAGACTGCTCTGCCCT